CCACTACCACTCTCTGGGTGCGGCCCTCCAGCCAGTTAGTGACCCATTTGACCGTGTAGGTGTCAACACCACAGTCCCCTAGTTTTTTAATGAGAATGGGATGAGAGACAGTGTCGAAGGCCTTCCTCAAGTCCAGAAAGACTATGTCCACTGCTTCCCCTGCATCTAATGATTTGGTGACCTGGTCATAGAAGGCCACCAGGTTGGTCTGACAGGACCTGCCTGTAATGAACCCCAAAGTTCTACCCCAAAGAAGTATTGAATACCTGATGTAATTTAATTCATAGGAATTTATCTGCATTTTCAGTGTTTTCAAATTCGTTAATTGGTTTATGGCACTTCTGCAGTTCCCAACAGGGAAGTTTGCATTGTAAGTTTTGGAAAGATGGGTACTAGCACTAGTATGACACCCCTGCCCCCCTCCAGCCTCTCATGATTTTAATTCTTTGGACTAATTTTGAGCTTCATGTACCAAATGGACAATTGAATAAAGTGTTATCTTTTGTTTTCCTTTAGGAGCAAAGGATTTATTAAAAATAAAGCTGTAGTCAAAACAAAATTAGCCCTTTACCCTGTTTCTGTGGCCAGTTCTGTAACTGGTCTAATTACATACTTTTCCTTCCTTTAGAGTCTCTTTTTGTGTACATTTAAACTTGTTTAGCATTCAAAATTTAAGAGGCAACATACCTTCTCTTACTTTGAGTCATATTTAAGGGACAGGATCTTCTTTTATCATAGTCACCAAGATCCAAAGAGTATTATCTTCATTATTTATTTATAACTGTAGCCTTACATGAGAGGAGCCTGGTATACCTGATGACCAGGCAAAACATTTTCTTTCTGCGGAGTATCAAATTGATATTCTCATGTTCTTGTTTCCTTGTACAGGAGCAAACATCCTTAATGTTTCTGTGTCGCTACAGTGGGGCAGTTTCCTGCCTTAGTCCCTTGTCCCTGGTGTACACTTCTATCTTGAGGAAAAATAGGGCTTAAAATTCCTTGGAATATAAGGCATTCCTATGAATACAACATTTTTTTTTTTTTTTTTAGTGTTTCTTCAAATGTGTTGGAGTTGGGCATAAGGGACAAGGAAAAACATATTAATACTAATAATAGCCATTTTTTACTTATTGGAAAGGTTCATTTCTTTCAAGGTATCCTAGGGTACTCTGTAGAACAGGACTGGAGTTTCTAAGTAGTAGCTCTTTAGTGAGCTGTTCAGCTAGAGGAGGACACCTTTAAAGGTAATACTGTCTTCTTTAAATACATCATTTTGTACAGTACTTGAAGACCAGAACAACAGTTTGTAACTTTTCACCTTTGTCACATGAGACTCCCCAGAATGTGTATGAGGTGTGGCCATCTTGATTCTTTCTTTTCAAGTCCCCGGTGAAGTTTATTGGCTTGAGTTTCCTCTCTCTCACACCTGTCAGAATCAGGAGTCTCTCTGGTGGAGTTAATGGAATAATACTGGTTTAAAACCAGTACAAGTGAAATTAAATGAAATGCACCAATTAATCACCGGATATAAGTCTGCTGGGAATAAAGGAGTGACTAGTAGAGAATACAGATTTATTTGATATAAAAGGGATATATTTTTTAAAGTGTATAATTTTATGGGAAGGAATGCACCCTATTGTTAATAAGTAGGGTGACCATACATCCCGGTTTGGCCAGGACGCTCCAGGATTCCATAGCCTGGTCCTGGCCAGTTGGTCATAAGTCCCAGGCTGGAGTCTAGCGGTGAGGCAGAGCAATGGTGCACCAGGCAGGTGGTTGGTAGGCACCACTGCTCCTGTGCATGTGCTATGGAATCCTGGAGTGTCCTGGCCAAACTAGGACATATGGTCAGCCTACTGATAAGAAAGTGCAGGAGACTGGCAGGGGGGAATTTGGTGCAGTAAAATATGCATTTTTTTGTCTTTTCTTTTTCTTCTGCAGAAATATTAAAACCAAACATATATCACCTTCACCCACATCTGCTATCCACTTCTGATGGAAGTTCTATCTCATACCCACACACTTTCTAGCTCTTAAACATGCTGAATGCTCTATAGCTGAAACTGATGTCATCATTTAGATAATTCAGTGGTGCCTCTGATTATTTGATTGCTTGTTAGAGGTACAGATCCTTTTTTGTTCTTAGATCAAAAAGAGATATTTAGAAAGTGAATGAAAAAGCTCTGTAAACCCTAACATGCCACTGAGTAAGCATCTCTGATGCAGAATTGCTTTCGGTCCTATCCAAGTAGCAGCTCTGGCTGCACAAGTAAACGCATGGCACTGTGCTTGAGAGAGAGAGAGCTGGCAATCTGCTGTATGGCTGGCAGACCACCTAGTCCTCATTCCTTTTGCTCTTTACATGCATTTGATTTTTTTTTCTTTTTTTCTGGCATGCACAAACAATTCAGCGTTGGATTTTGACACACACATTGCTGCTGTCTCAAAGGATTAATTGAACAGGCTGTCTTGCAGCTGCTGCATTTTCCACCATTGAAACTGACAGTTACCTACTGTGTGGAGTTGCTAGGAGAAGGTGAATAGTCATGATTACAGCATATTCCTTCAATAACAACCTGTAGAGCTCTCTGATTTCTCTTCTGCAGGGATTTATACAACTCTGAAATACTGACTTAATGCTTGTTCAGCTATGCTTTTGTTAAGAGGCTGGTTCATTCATTCATTAAGGACCAATTCAGGATCAACTAAAGAGGCAAAAGCTCTGGCATTTAAACAGGCACTCTTTTCCTAGAGTGGTGCAAGCTGATATTGGCTTTTCCCATCTGCTTTCCTGTTGCAGCCTGCATCTCCAACCTGCATAACATTTATTTATTTTTTTCTGGACTGCTAAAGTCATTCACGTTTATCCTGCATGGCAGGGCATTCTAGTAAATTTTAAGAAATCTTTTGTGCTTTAGTGCATATCCCTCCAGCAATCGAAGTGCACAGGGAAAGAGCTTGAGCAGTCAGTCAGTCAGTAGTATAGTAACTGGCTCACATGCATGGATTAGACTTGTGAGGTCAGAAGAGCCGTTTATACTCTGTACTGCTGTAGGCTGGTGGGGAGGGGAGTGGGTTTGAAGAATGGATTTGTCTATCAAAATGAATAGCAATTCAGGCAGAGCTTCCCTCAGTTTGTAATTCTGATATGGTTTGATGTGTGAGAGCTCCTCCTGTATTACATGCATGGATCTTCTGACATTTATAGTGGACTAAGGAATGCTTTTACATGCTGCTGAGTCTGACTGTAACTGTATTACCGTAGGACAGCTACCATGGGGGCTAGAGCTACTGAAACAACCCGGGAACTGGAAAGCACCTCTCTAAAGTATCATCTAGGAGGACACACTGAAAAAATGTGGCAACGGCTTAAGGGAATGTGAGTAGATTCTCTTTCTTTTGTGCTGTTTACTAGGAAAGATGGGTTGCTTATGAAAGTGACTAATCAATACGGGGAGAGTTATTTATAAGCAGTTATTATTATTACTATCAGAATCTAATACGTCTTTACAATGTTTGGTAGTAGCAGATGAATGCTGAATACTGTGTTAGAACTGATCACCTTATGTGGAAGACACAGATAGTTAAAAAAAGCTGCTGCCCATATCTACGTTCAGGTAAGTCCTTGTAACTGAATTCCCATGGCACTCTGACCAGTTATTGTACAGATGCTTTCTTCTGAATTGGCATTTTTAGTGTATATAATCATTAGAATTAATTTGGAATGAATTTGGAACCAGTATGGTCCTCCTGAAAAGGTCTGTACATTTAGGTAGGTATATAATTCCCCATACTTTGCCGTATTGGGTATGCAAGTAGAATAGTCTATGTGGACAGGTGCCTACGTGTGTATATATACGTATAGGTAGGGATACTATATTATTGTCTTGAATTGTTTTTTCCCCTCAGAAATTGACTAATGGATTATTTTTAGGGAACCTTCATAATTTATGCCTATCATTAAAGCAATTCTTCCTCCCCCATCTATGAAATCCGTAAGATAGTATCTGCATGTTAGACGTAAAGTCCATCATCAGTACAATCCTAAAGCCACAAACTTTAGCTAATTTAGTACTAGATGATTTGTTCTGAATGCTCACACTGGGATGCATTACACTCTCACATCCATATGTTGCGTAAATAACAATAACCTCAGTGCTTGGGAAGCAAGGAAAGAGCAAGAAACCTCCCTTTTGGATAGGCAGATTTGAAATGTTAAGTTCTGAATAGCTTGCAACAGATGCTAGCAGAAGGAAAATGTTTGATTTCTTATTAAAATTGGAAGCCACTGTTATCGTATTTATTATATGCAGGGAATTAGATGCGCTTGAGTCAGTACAGGAAAGTTTTAAAATTATGATACCAGTTAGCTTCCCTTCTGATTTGGACTGGGGATTCATATGGGAAGGGGTGTTTTCGCTAGCTACTTGTCATGACAATTCTTCCAGAGGAACTCCAAGTTACTTATGTTGTAAGCTGGCTCCATAGGAAGATTTCTGGCAAACAATGTTTGAGTTCACATTCTGAATTATTTGCTACTTCGTCTAACACTTGCTTGATTTTTGTGACAGTGCTGGTTGTTGTGAATTCCAAATTATCCCAAGGAACCCCAATGTATATTGACCCCTTCTTGATGACAGAACTTAACTGACAAAGTGTCCACCACTGGGGACCTCCCTGCCTCTACAATGGCTTTTAGTGGTAAACAACAGTGGTTCTTTAGACTCGAGGCACTGCTTGGAAAATGCCAGTTCTTAATTTTTACTCCTTTTTTTGACTGCAGAAAAATAATAGAGCAATTATTTTGTTGGAAAAAGTCCTAAAGACCACAATAGGTTAGAGTGTTTTTAACTCTATGGATTTCTGTGTGAAAACTCTGGGTTTATCTTGTGAATCATGTTTTACAACAGTGCTAACAGTGTTGAAACTGTGCAGCATCCACAGCACTCTTGAAAGGATTTCAAGGCATCCCAGGGTGCCATGGCACCCTAGTGGTGAATCACTGGTATAGAGTCTGAGTGCCTAAGATATGAAGGGGCTTTACAGAAAGTGCCATGAGTTAATTTTCCCACCCTCCCTCTACCCCCCAAACCAACAGACGTTTGCTACTTGATCCTGTCTGCACCAGCTCTGGCCAGCAGGCAGGGGTGCTCCAACTGAACCACCTCTCTTCCCAGCCCTGTCCCCACCAGCTCCAGGGCTATCGGAGAGGGAGGGGTAGGGTAGGGATTAGCAGACAGCTGCCAGCTGGGGTTGGCCCGGCCAGACCTGGAATGGGGTGGAACGGAGCTCCCTCACCTTGCAGGCCCCTCCCAGCTCCTGCCAGGCCAGGCCAGGCCGAACCAAGCCAGCAGCTTGTCAAGAGGCTCAGGCAGGGGATGGGGAAAGGGAGCCCTTCTGCCTTGTGCCCCCCCATCTACCCCAGCTGAGGTATTGTAGTTTGTGTATGTACCCTAGGTTGGCTCTTAGTATTTTTATGGATTTCTGATTTTATTAGCTTCTAGATAAAACATTTTTTCCAACTAGTTTTGATTACTAAATGTGATTAATTCCACTATGATAACTAATTGATGTAATAAACAACATTCAATAAAAGCAATCACTAGGTGCAGTCAATAAAAGAAATAAGATTTTAGGTCTTTAGGTGTTTTAAAATCAGTATATGGAATATGTGGTTTATTGAACTCCACAGGAGACAGAGTTTACTTATTGTGAATTGTGCCTACCCGACGATCAGTGTTCCTACTATAGGACAAGGTATAGCTTAAGTTTTTGTTTTAAAAACAAAGATAAAAGATATTAGTTTGTTCTAAAAGATATGTTTTATTCTAAAAAGAAAAATTATTATTTTTATGGATAAGTGCTGAGCTGGTTCTGTCTTGGACTTATCAAGATTTCACTTGAGGGTTATAAATATTATAAATATTCAATTTTATTAATATTGAATCAGGTTTATTATTTTAGGACAGATCTCTTAAAACAGTTTTTATTCAAGGAAGTGAACAGAAAATAAAAAGACTGGTTTCATTGAACATTGATACAGAGATAATAAAACAAAAATTCATGTGCATGTTCATGGGAGGAACTGCAGTGTGTATGATTGCCTAAGGAAGGATTCTATTGGCAGATGGTTTGATTTGTCTTGCAGGTGGAGAGAAGGGAATAATCAAATGATTTCTTCTAGGCCGGGGACAGACATTACACATAAACCAGTGTGAGTGATCAGAAACTGATTTAAATTTGTAACAGAACAAAGATTCAATTCACATAAACCAGTCTGAAAATGGCTGAAACCGGTTTGAGATTAATTTGATTGAATGTAGTATCAGAACTATCTAATTTGGCTCAAACCAGTTTATGCAATGTCTGTCCCAGACCCCTTGCTGATTTAAGTTAAACAATGCACCTCCAGCATCCCCGCATGCTCTCTGGGCTGGATGGGGCTCTCTGCTGCACAGCAGGGCTGGCCCCTCCCATCTGCTCTCTGGCTGCAGCTCCAGCAGGGACTGCAGGCTGCTCACCTCCCTCCCTTTCATCACTCCCTGCTAAGCAGGAATTCCCTCATTCCCTCTGCCTTGTAGGGAGGTGTCTGTGTATTAGCTAGTGGACCACATGCTGGCTACGGTCCATGCTGTATCAACAGGCAGAATCAACAGGTAGCTGGCAATGTCCCTCTGTTGTTTTCTTAGTGGGGTATTAAACACTGAGTTAGGGGTGATAAACACTGTTATCAATTCCCTGCTGGGCTAATCAGAGCATTCTTACAGAGCCTGGCCATGCCTCCCTCAGTTCAGTACTGTACAAAGGAAGGGAGAGCTGCTCTAGCGCCCCCTGGCTTATAGCCTGAGCCACTGCAGGCATGTGCCTACATTCTGGGATGTCTGTTCAGTTACAAATTAGTTTAGCCTAGTCAGGTTAGACTAACCTGCAAAGATTGAATCAGTTTAGGCTTGGGCTTTTTGAATGTCTGTCCCTAGTCCTGAAGCAACAAAGCAAGATTTCATCATCGGCCAAATGTGCGTGGCATAGTTCTTATTGAAGGCAATTAGCTGTATTTGTGAGTCAATAGCAGAATTGGCCATTGGAGATCCAATAGATCCTGTAAGTCTATGACACTTTCATTGATTAAAAATGTAGTAACATAGTCATTTGGAGGACAGAATGTGGATTCTCCTCGGCAAACTAGTTCAAACGAATTGTTTATTTCATAGCAGTATTTTATTTCATTTAGATATGGGTCTTTGTTGAATTTAACAATTACATGGTACATCTATACATAAATTAGCTGTATTTTCCAATGATCTATCATATTTAGGGATAACATATAGCAGTCTGTAGGGTAATCTAAAACTGAAAATCTTGCCATTCAACTTTTTGTTATAAAGTGATAAATTCTTCCACAAGAAAATGCAAGAGGTAAAGATTTTTGTGGGTGATCTTTTATTGGACCAACTGTATAGTTGTGAGGAATACAGATGAGCTTTTGAAGATAAAGTATCCTTTCTTAGGTCCTAGACAAGCTTTCAGTTTTCAAGTGTAAATTTGTACAAATGACATTTTGTTTAAAAAACCCTTTCATTACAGTCCTTGAATAAGCTGTCATTTCAGAGACCCTTTCCAGTCTGTCAAGTAGAGTTTTCTTAACTGCCAGAATTTTGCCTCTTCTACTCTTGATCCATCCTTCCATAATCCAACCACTATTTTAGACCATCTCCAGGCTACAAATATCATATATGGGCATTTCAGCCTACAACAGACTCAAAAGAGGTTTTGTTCAAGAGACGGTAGGCAAACAGTAGTGTATATGACATGTAAGCAGCTTCTTTTGAAAAGGTATATATTGCAAAAGTATGAGAGATACAGATTACTAACAGAAATCACCTCCATGGTCACTAACTCACATGGACTTTTTTCGCTGATTTCTAGGTTCACCTTGTGGTCCCTCATTTTCTTAGGAAATGAAGTATAGCCTGCTTGCTACAGTCTTGGCTCTCAGTTGGTCTTTCTCACTGTCGGTCTTACAGCATGCTGACCTTTCCCTTGTCTTTCCTGTCAAGGGAATCTTTTTAAGCCTAGGGCCTTCTGATTTTTCTTCCAGGTTGCCACACTTGTATCTTAGTTGAGGGAACAAGTTCCACACTCAGAACTTTGAGCTTATGTGCAAGAAAAGATTTTGCTTTTTCATATGGGTTTATATTTGTCCTCTTTGTGCTAAAACTGGAGAAGACTCTGCATAAGAGATTGAATTGAACTCCTCCAAAATCAGGGACATGATTAAAGTTCATATTGGGTTAGAACTATCTAAATTGTGTAATTTGTATTTGTCTGGAGCACATCAGCCACATTAATTCCTTCCCTACAGCTCATTTGGGCTATGAA